AATACTTTTTTAAAAATCATTTATTTATTTATTTATTTATTTATTTATTTATTTATATAATTCTTTATTGTTGAAAGTATTACATATGGTCCTCTTTTCCCCCCCATTGATACCTTCCAGCCCGCACCAATCAGAAAGAATGTATGCACCCTATTGTCTGTGTCCATGGGTTATGCATATATGCATACAAGGTCTTTGGCTGATTACCTCCCAACCACCCATCCTCCTACACCTTCCCTCTGAGATTCTGCACTCTGTTACATGCTTCAAAGTCTCTGGATCCACTCTCTTCATCAGTTTATTTTGTTACTTAGATTCCACATATGAGTGCGATCATGTGATACTTATCTTTCTGTGAATGACTTATTTCACTTAGCATGATACTCTCCAGGTCCCTCCAGGTTGTCTTAAAGCAGTGGTTCTCAACCTTGGCTGCACAAATCACCTGGGAATCTTTTTAAAATCCTGATTTCGGGGCCTCATCCTCCGGAAATTCTGTTTCTTTGTTACTAATGTACTGGAATATAGTTGCCTACTACATATTCCAAAGGATTTAACAAAGTCAAAGTAATGGATAACAGAAAAGATCCTCCATTCTTCAATGAAGATAATGTGGGACCATTTTACTACAAACTTCTTTTCTATACCATGGAGCTCTTCATTGAAACATTGACTGGGACATGTTTTGAACTGAGAGTTTCACCATTGGAAGCTGTTATTTCTGTGAAAGCAAAAATTCAAAGACTGGAAGGTACTCATCTTTCTTTTTTCTTTCTTTAATTTTTAGGATATGAGGATTATATTTGTTCATCAAGAGTGTATAAATAACTTTAACTTTTCTTCCAGAGAAAATGTCAAACATACATGGAATTAGAAAGTATAGGATAATGAACCCCCATATGGCCCTTACTCAGCTTCAACAGTTATCAACTAATGAGCTATCTCATTACCATTTCTTCTGCATTCCACCTCAGTCCCCTTCTACCCAGTTTTTTTTTTTTGAAGCAAATCCGTGGTATCATGTTAGTGGTGTGAAATAATATTTTAAAAATAGTTTTTCAACAGGTTATGATGACATGCAAATTCTTCCATAACTACCCTACAGTTACTTTTTAAATTTTTTTTTATTGTTTAAAGTATTACATATGTCTCCTTTTCCCCCCATTGACCCAGCCCCGACCACTCCCACCCCCCAGGACAAGTCCCCACTGCCCCAGTGTCCGGATCCATTGGTTATGCTAATATGCATGCATACAAGTCCTTTGGTTGATCTCTTACTCCTCCCTCCCTTCCCTCCCCTGCCTTCCCTCTGAGGTTTGACAGTCCATTTGGTGTTTCTTTTCTTTCTTTTTTTAGTATATTTTATTGGTTTATTAACAGAGAGAAAGGGAGAGGGATAGAGAGTTAGAAACCTTGATGAGAGAGAAACATTAATCAGCTGCCTTCTGCACACCCCCAACTGGGGATGTGCCTGCAACCAAGGTACATGCCCTTGACCAGAATCGAACCTGGGGCCCTTCAGT